CCAATGCGATGCCACGAAGTCCTACACTCGAGAACCGCCCCGCGCGCGTGACAAGGCAACTCCAGCACCAGGCTTATTCGCCTACTGTGGATGGAAATGTCTCGAAATTGGGGAACCCCCAAACTGGCTGCCTTCCTTTGGAATTCCCTTTCGAACAAAGCAAAGAAGGGTACCCTCACAAAAAAAAAAAAAAAAACAGAAAAAAACAAAAAAAACACACACACACACACCCATACTCAAAGAATGGGATCAAGGAAAGCAGGCGAGCGAGGTTGGTTTTGCAAGAAGTCGGCTTTGCATCCACTGTATCTTGAATCATCCAATCCGGTGGGTTCAGCCTTAGCCTCAAGATCTGACAGCCTGCGAATACCCATTCAACCTGACTGCGCAGCGCAGGCCAGATTCACTAAAGCCTGTTTGGTCAATGTGTACAACTTCCATGAGCGCAAGTTTTGTTGTGGTTGTTTGGAGGCGAACAAAGAAGTGCACACGGTTCCCTTGCAAGTTGGGGCAAGCAAACGAAAGGGTCAGAGGGTCCGTGACAGCAACTACCAGTGAGTCTGATGCGGAGTTTCGGAGTGGCCGGGTGTGAGCGCATGCGGAGTTTGGAATCAGGGTTGTGCTTTTCTGTGCAACGCGCGATCTGAAGACTATGTTCAACACTTTAACGTCATATCATATTGAACTTGCTTTGTTTCGCAGGACAGCATGGACGTGCGACATGGCAACAGTTGAGAGTATCATAGCAAGCTCATCGAAAGAACACTCTCGTTGCAACATTTTGCAGGAACCGTCGTGCGGTCAATGCAGGGCCCCCCCCTCCACAACCCTTCCGCACGGTTCGAGCTGAATAATCTCAGCTGGCCAAACGGGTCTAACTCGTCCCGACAAGGGCAGCCAAAACATATGGCCCCGTGTCCTGTTGCTGCTCATTGATTGCTCCTTTACAGATTGTAACATCCCCAATTGAGAACCCAGCTCAACAAGTTGCAAGGTTCATAGAAACTAACAGAACCAGCCACAGAGAATCCGACCGAAGACCAGCCGAAACCTGCTTTTTCTTTCTTGACGAGGGTCTTTGGCAAATGACCCTTAGATTGTAATCACGTTCAGAGTGGTCGATTCGGTGATCTCGTGCCCATGTAGATCGAAGCAACGCTCGCTGAACGCGCCAAAGTTTTGAGCCAAGCCGATCGTCAGATTCGTGAAAACATCCCGGCAGGTTGGAAGTGAGATTGATCACCTGTGAGGTTCCCAGAGCCATGGGGAGCGCGAGTGGAACCGAGGACTGGCACCTGCGGTCCATATCCTGGTGGTGTTATTTTGACCCATGCCCAATTCAAGTCCAAGGTTTCTCTAGGCTTTGGCCCATGATTGAAGGTTCCATGGTCCATATGGGGGGCTCGTCTTTCTTTGAGGTCCCCCCGCCCTTGTTGCGCCTTTTAGGAGAAACCGAAAGAAAAGCCAAAGCCATTGCGAAATCAACAAAACCCCCCTTTGCAATGAATGTCCAACATTCAAATGAAAGCGCATAGATGACATGGCTCCAAGCACCAACACCATGTGCCTTTTTGAGGCATGAGTCTGTTCAAAACAAAGCCGCCATGACACTTTGAACATTTCCGCCCAGCTTGCTCTGTTGTCTGTTTGGCATCCTATTTGGCGGGGATGCTCTGAGGCGACAATGCTGGCCTTAGAGTGAACCAATCTCCGCTGATGGAGGTCTCTCAAAGTGGCTCATTAAAATGGTTGATGTCCAATGATGTTCTTGCGCAATAAGTTGCAACCAAAAGGGGCTCCACCATTTTGAGAACTCTCCATCATTCATCTCCCAACCTGCGCTCGCAACGTAGGTCATTGCTCTTCAACGAGCACCGGGAGCTCAAAATAAGAAAGCGCATGTCCAAAATGGCCAAAACCACGGACCGAAATTCTAAGGGAAGAACTACATGCCCCTGGGGACGATGGCCCAAGCAAATATGTTCAATTCGCAGCAACTTTATCAGGGCTGCTCTATACAGGGTAGAAATTTGGACCACGATGTTTCGGGGTACCGCTTTTTAAGACACACCATGAGCATGAGGATATTCTTGTGCGGCGCAGGTGGCCCAGAGGCACGTGGTGATTTCCCTTGGGTCCGCGTTTCGGCCCTGGGCTGAGGAAAGTCAAACCACATCCATTGTGGCTTCCCTGAGGGGGGCAGCAAATTCTGATCAAATGGCCAACCTTTCCAAATCCGCCTTTCTCACCTGCTGCAACATGCGCACTGCCACACAATGCCACACATGCCATCCACACACTGGCGTTGCCCTGGTTTTTGTTGTATTGTGCAAGCATTTGCTTCGCGATCCAAGATGTTGAAGTCATCAAGGGAATTATCAGGGACCATCCAAAATATTTGAAGTATCCCAACCATATATCCAGAAAACCATGAACCATTACGTCAAACTAGACTGTCACTTTGTTTCCTACTTGCAATATGGCAACGGCATCCCACCACATTAACGCGCCTCGTATTCTTTTCTTCCCCTCGGTGAGACTCCAAAGGCGTAGCCATCCCACCTTAACCGTCAACCACTTGGGCTAACAACTGGTGTCGTTTTGAAAAGCTGTGCACCGCAAAATTCTAACCAAAAACTGAAAGAAACAAAAGGGAACCTATGACCGCAAAGTCCAATTCTTCTAAAATAGCGCTCATTGAACCGAACGTCCTTTTCGATCAGGGCGTCCAGTTGAACCTGAATGGGGCACCCCGTGTTTTCCCTGAGAGGGCACCCTTGCTGAGCCACCCACCCACCCACTCACCCCAGCCAACCAGTCCTGGGAAACTGAGACTCGCCGCGCGATCTCCTTAAAAAAAAGGCTTCCGCCCGACGCTTGCCCATGAGAACGTTTCATTGGAGTACTGAGTACAAGTGAAGAATTAAAATTTGAGTCAAGCATCCCCTTTCCCAAGCCCGACCCGTGGCAAACAAATACGCAAGCCCACTGTTGTCGGATGCCCCTTGGATCCGCAAAGCGGAGTCTGAACGAAGGGCAGTTGGGCATAGTTCACGTGGGTTTGTCTCAAACAAGGGAACCTTCGAAATGCGCAGTTTCCTTTTGGCTTACTTCGTATGCCCTCAATGAAAACAGGTGCGTCAGTTTCGAGATGGTTCCCTCGTGTCAGACTGAAACGGACCCTACCAGATCTTCCATGGGTGAGACTCACAGGAGCGGCCGACCGTGTTTGATTCCGAGCGCAAAGCTCGCCGCGGAGTTCTTGTCAATCAACAACTCCGGCTGCAGAACAAATAAGGGTAATTTGTTGCCAGTGATCGCTTCCCCAAACAACAGGGAATTGCAAAATATATTCAAAGTATATAGCATTCCTCAGTGTTCTGCTTCGAATACAAGTGACTAATCACACTGGCAGAATTTCACCTCGTTTCCCGGGAGATATCCGAGCTTTCGCCGTCCAAGGTGCCTTGGCAACGGGTGTGCACTAGATGGACTCTAGTCCATCCGGCAGCTTCTCCAAAGTTAGCAAACTCGGGCGGCACCAGCTGGGAAGCTTTGATATCTCAAGTTGCGAATCCAAGCACTTGGCTTCGGCAAAAGTGCTGCATCTGAAATGGTTGGTGAAGAGATGTCTGCACTTCCAGCCTGAATTCAAAATGACCAAATATTGCTACTTGGGCAGTGTTTTTCCTTGTTGCGTGGGGCCATATTAATTTTGACTTGCATACGCCATGCCTACGCCGCCTACCAAAAATGTTACCATTCCCGCACAAATGCCTACGCAAGACAAAGTTGACGGGACACCTGCCTACGCACAAACGCGACTCAACACATTTAGGGCTGTGCAAAACAGTTCCAGCTGGAAAATCACAACTTTCCTGTGCCAGTGTAGTGCGCGAAGTTTGGCATCTCCGGCAAAATCATCGGCACCTTGTCAGTACAAGTGGAGTCGAGGTACACCTTGGCAGCTCCAGCGTACAGGTGAGCTAATCAAAGTACGCTTTGCCAAAGGAACGACCGGCCCCGGTTGGAGTGTAGACGTCAGGCATACGCAAAGCCTGCACGAAAACTGCCGGGCTTTTTGAATTTTGGAACGGCCAGTGTGTTAAGAAATTTATGAAGCAATAAATTCGACGGTCGAGAAATAAATTATTTGAGACTCTCAAGCGCTCCAAAAATCAAAAACTACTCCCCACTGAAACTGACCAGCTCAGGCCTGAGAATTGTGTGCTCACGCTTTTGGCGCAGCGGAGTACAACTTCCAAACTCTGAGCCGAAGGTGTGGCAAGTTGTCAAAAATGTGTTCAAGGAACATCTGTAGGTCACCAAACCTTGATTTACCTCGTGCTATGCCTTCAGATGTAGTACATCTAGCCGCCCAAATCAAATTAAAATTTCCGCAAAAGTATTCCTGTGCAGGCTTGTCACACAGCATCACTCTTTAGCTCAGTTAGCAGTGGACTGTGTCGAGTGTCGAGAGCGGGGAAAAATAGGATCGAATCCTGACAAGCTTGCAAGGACAACACATTCTGACAACTTGCCACACCTCTGGCTCCGAGTTTGGCACTGCTGCCCCAAAACGCGCGAACACCCAATTCTTGAGCAAAGAAAAACAACCAGGGTCAAAACAAGCCCAACCACACCAGCGCACCAAAAGGCAAGACCAACACCTT